CAACACTTATGTACCCACAAGCTGTATGTGAATAATAATAATTACAAACGAAATAGCCTTGACAGCTATTCATCATTTCAAGCTTATTTAGTTTGGAATCTACAAATATAAAACCTATGAGTAAGGTAACACGTAATCAAAGTAAAACCATTATTTTGGGATAATATATGCTCAGTAAAAATTGTTTAAATGGCAGAAACTAGATCAGAAGAAACCCACAAAAGTTCAGGGCTACATAAGTTTTTCATAATTGGCAACTGGATTGTTTCGGTAAGTCATCCGGAAATGCAGTTCTTAAAGAAACAAAATGAGACATCCAAAGTTTAAAAAGACCGGTTATCTACTGTGTAGCATAGAAAGAAGTGGACAAGAAACAATGGCTACGGAAGCTATTGGATAAAATGTAGTGAACGAGTATTACGTCATCGGATCGCCATTCGTTTACTTGTTTGAAATATTTTATGTTAAATGGCCCATCACTGAATGTAGATTAGTCCAGATGTCCTGCAGTCAAAACATAGCTCACTCAAAGTTGATTTCTTATAGCACTTCGAGAAATATTTAAGTTGTGACAGAGTTTCAGTCGGCCAGAGGTTTGGCGACGACTATTTCCAGAGACTTGTATAGCGATGGTGATTTTCTTGAAACTTATTGTTCTGTTGCTAATACTTTCCTATTTTGAAGACCTAGTTTTCTACTTCTGGCACATTTTATAGCATCATAGTTTTCTGAAGTCACATTGTGTAGAATTTTGCAATATAAGATATTTGTACTTAACCACACGATCTTTGAAGCCGAACATAAAATTACTGAAATTGTACTCGACACGTAACACAAAGGGAGGTCAAGAATTGTGAACTTCGTAATAATTGATCGGTATGACATGGCTCTGCCTGACAAGTGTGATTATTCAATGTGTATTAGTTTATCCCCATCAGGAGTGTGCTCATAAGAAGTACTAAACATCGTATTGCTGATTATCATGTAGGATGAGTCAGTATGGGCAGTGATATGACTTCCATGTAAGATTTTGTAGGTTCGGCAGTCACATCGTGAAAGCCTCCACATCGATTAATATGGTATTAAAGATAGATATACTATTGCTGAGTTAGACCATATTCCGACATGGTTTTACTACTGGATGTCAACAATTTTCCGGAGAAAACGATAACCAAACACAGAGAGTCGTCTAACATTCTCAACTCGGATAGGCCAGGTTTCACAAGTATAAAGCAAAACTGCTCTCACCGACGCGTTGTAGATCCAACATTTTACGACCAGACTAACATCATGAAAGCGCCAAAGGTTGCTCAAATTGACATAAACCGCTCCGGCTTTCACTATATGTTGATTGATCTCATAACTCACGCCACCACCAGCACTTATGCCACTCCCCAGATACATGAACTTCTCGGATACTTCAAATCGCTTACTGCACAGAGTGAGTGCAGGATCAGGGTCCTGACAGCTTTGTGAAGGTACTTTGCACTTAGGAGGTCCAAAGTACATTCCATACCCACGGACACTGACTGCCAACTGGTTAAGTGCGGATTGCATGGCTTGGGTATCGTCGCACAATAAGAAAATATCATTCGCATAACGCCTTAATAGTTGGAGTTCCTTAGGGATTTTCGACTCATTAGGTGGATCAGCCGTCACAGGTTATGGAGGAAAGGACAGTCTGATCGATATTGTCGGAGCAACAGACCAGTTGAACTGCTTTTTAAAAAGGTCTGCTCATCGTTAAAGAGGTCACCTTCACAGAATATTTCGCTCACACTAGACTTCGTGCTGCCAGTGACTCAGATGAGTTGAAAGAGCTTGAGGAAGTTGCCAGATGCAACTGATGCTCCCAACTTATTTGCACGCTCCGATCACCAGTCTTCTCAGTCCTTAGGCAAGTTTTTCCCAATTTCATTATGTAATAGTCCTTGATTGTAATCAGACATGAGGTCACTCGGAGTAAACCTAAGGGCTTCACTGAGTTGTAAAAAGCCTGAGGAAACCCAGTGCTCATAAGTTGAATGTTTTGCGAAGCTGCAAGCGACTTTACTCTCATAATGTTTAGTAGGAGGGTAGCTAGCTTTGGTATTTATGTGTAACAGTAGCTGTAACCAATTTACTGACATCAGTCGGTTTGGGAAGATGAAGCTGTTAACCACTGAAACGTAAGGTAAGACTACCGCAAACAAAGACATGACCAGAGTCCAGATTGGTGCCTCAAAATGAGCGGCACTCTTGTACACAATCACTTCAGTGGAAGCTGATTCTGATGTGGTCAGTCTGAGTTAAGGCTCGAGATGCAGAGGGAGGACGCCAGGTAGCACATCGGCAATTACTGGGACGGCAAATAGTGCTAGTTAGGAACGGGTAGTAGCAGATGGTCACCATTATCTGAACCGCAACCAACAAGTCCCTAACGACTCCCTTATGTTCCTAAACACCTGACCTGAGAATCCAAGTCTCGGACTAGTGCTACAATATCTGTCGAACGAACTTTCTGTAGAACTGTTAACTGTTGGTAAAACTCATCATTGATAGCATCCGGGTTAAATCTAGAGGAGCATAGGTGGAGATGACGAAAAGACATCGTTTCACGCACCTATTTCTTCGCACATTGTTGGAATTTTCTAATCCAACAGCACATATCTAACTGTTAACAACGATCCAATCGATTGGTGCTGCCTCAGCTTTGACCCTTAGTGCGATACCAACGTCAACAATACCAGACAAATATTTCATATGGTACCCCGATAAATGCACATGAAACAAGCAATTCGAAGCGAGGGATGGGGAACGAATTTGTGGTACTACACTAGAGTTTTGCATACGCGTCTTGGATAGACAACAAATATCGATATTAAAACTTTCTAAAGACATACCAAACCCTGATGATGATCTGGTAATGTGCTTGTGTTGAGATCGCTCGGTATATCTTATTGATTAACAGACCACTTCTTATTATCTTGTATCTCAGCCAGAATAACCCCATGTGTTAAAGTTTGTTGTCGTGAGATTTAAGCTCTACCATTAACTTGTTTGCACGTTTCTGTACGTAGTGTAAGAGATTTAAGACTCTCTTGAAGAGAGGCTAAATGAGTTTGTGAACTTCAGGGTGGGACCGCGGGTACGTTATAAAGAGAGTTTGGAACAACTCCGAGGCGGTCTTCCCAAGTAGTCTACGCATAAAGCGGAGATTCACGCTTGCCTCGACTGCATCTCCAATGTGGTTTGAGCTGGCGTCTAAACTCTCGACGGTTACTAGCCCAAGGTTACGCTCTGAGGATTCAGTTAGAAGCGGATCTTTATGAAGGACTTTTATTCATACCGCATGTACATTGTTAATAAAAATAAACCATACCATAAATAATTGGTTATGGGGTAAATAATATGTCAATGAACCCTTGCCCAAGAGTCCGTCTAGCTGAATCATTTGTAAGTTAGATGGCAGATCATTAAACGTTAAACAGTTCACCGAATCTCGTCAAATTTAAGTATAGCCAACGAGAAATAATTGGTTCCATGCAACAGAACGGCTCATGTGACGGTGTTCTTACCTCCTGTCTCTCTAACTTAATTTCTTTAGTAAACTGTGCTTTTCGATAGGGTCTGAACCTATTCGGTTAGCACCACAGAGGAAGCCAGGTTAAGTATATCTCTCGAGGCGCGAACACGACACTAAGATTTCAAACCATTCCCGTCGAACTGGGGTGGGTACATTGCCAATATTTAAAATCAATATTGCATCTACATTTTTCATAAACTCTTCTATTATTACGCTTTTTAAATTTGTGGTGGAGTTATAGAATATTTATCCCATCCCCATATAGATGACATGCATTTTGAAATATTGTCTATGTTCATAGATTTCGGTAATCTGACAAGAATTATTTTATTCCAGAAATCAGTATTGTACTGAACCGCTTACATTATTTGATGTACTGGAAAATAGACCATCAACGTTTCATTTTTTTTCAAGCGGTTGAAAACAGACTTGGTTAGTCTATTCAGCTTTGCTCTACACGTGGTCATCTGTGACTCAATCAACCAAATTTACGATTGGTAATCTTGTTGAAAATGTGGATATCATTGATGCCATCCAACAAGAAGGAAATTTGAATTCGACTTCATTTGGTGTTAACTATGTATGCCTAGTCAGTTCTTAAAAGAGGAAGCACTAAATTGTTTTACTACAGTGTTTAGTCATCATCATGTTCAGATGACTCGAAAGTGTAACTGGTGAGACTATAATTTATGGACGACCTTCGAGTAATGCTAAAGTGACCTAATAACTAGGACCGAATGAGAGTTAAAAACCAGTGTGAGAAATTAGAATTATGATTCACAGTTGATGGTTAGAGTTAGGAATTACATTCAGGGTTTTCATCACAAACTGAAATCAGTTATAATGCCAAAACTCTATTTATACAAATGGATGGGTGAATTTTGCACCGAAATCTGGGACCTGTTATCTTATACCTGATTGATTCATCCATAAATTATAGTCTCGTCGTGTAATTAAATAGTGCAGTGTACCACTGGAAAGATTATATTGGTCGGATTGCGCGGCACTTACTCCGTTAATTAGTTTCTATTAGATGGTTTTCATGTTGACAAAGTAATGAGTTGATTAAAAGTAGACATTTTGTTGAAAACATTTCCTTTTTCTGAATATATTCGATTATTCACCATGTTAAATAGATAACATACTGTTGTTTCAACTGAACTGTTCGATCATTGTCGAAGTTTCAAGTGATTAATGAAGAGATTTTAACTTGAGGAATAATGAACACTTAAATTAAAAAATAATTTTTCTTTAAAAATAAACCAAATACATGCAAATAAAGTACCATATTACCAAAAAACTTTCCATTGTCTAACCCTGAGAACTCATCTCTTATTGATTCGTATATTATCTTTTAGTGGTATAAAATGACAAGTGTGTTAAAAAGATGAGAACGAGCCAACAGAATATAAATATTCTAATGTAATATAATAATTTATGTTAACTTTTCTGCATTTTCAGGAATCATAAATTCTTTTGGTAATTCTGCAGCAAGCATTTTAGTAAGTTCTTCCTCATCAGCATCATTTTCATGTTCTTCAAAATCACCAAATCCCTTTTCTGTTAAGTCATAATTACTATCAACCAGATGATTAGAGCATAATGCATTTTCATAATTAAGTGAATTTAAACATCCAAGCATATAATCAACAATATTTGGATGTGGTAAATGTTGAGTTGGATGATTCAGTACAAGCCAATCACGAACATATATCGAATCACCTCTGGGATCATGTTTATCATCGGAATCTTTTGGAGGTAACCAAAATGGTCGGTATTTGGTTGTTGTCTGTCTTGATCTATTGAGTTTTACTTCAGTTATTAACCAATTACACGTTTCTGGAGAGAAGTATTGTTCAAATGTTGAAAATATTTTTGATTTACTTCTAATAAAGCAAACTTTTGATACTGTTGTCTGTGGTAAGAATGGTTTAATGGCTTGCCAAGCAACTTTGAATGCAGGTCCTGGATGAACACAGATTGCTAAACCAAGGCGCTCTGGATAATGATCAGCCATTATTTTGGCACATTCGTAACCAAGACGAGGATGACAGCTGGTTGTAGTCATGCCTAAAAATTAAGATGTTTCAACTAATTACAGTGATAAATAAAATACTTTCATTATAACAATCCTCTGACTTTTGCGGACATTTCATATAATTGAAATGCCCAACTTAAATGCTTCTTATCACCAAAATTACGACAGTTACTAGACCCTTAAATGTTTATATCAATTAGACAATAAATGTGAATTAATGTCGTACCAAATAGTGCTATACTTTCGATAATGTATACTTTCTGATTATACCTAGAAGGTATAAATTCAATCGAAAAGTAATTAGGCATTTGATGATGTAATTAATTTCCCTTCTTTCTTATCTTTGCATCCTAAAACATCATGGAATCCAATGAATTTTTTAATGTTTGGTAAAGTTGATTAATTAAGTATATACTCTTCACGAAATTACGCCACCGTACACCAATGTCTTCAATGAGCTGATATCTCACAAAAGACCTGGTTGAACTCCACTGGTAACGGCTTCTCACTAGCGCTCGCGCGCGAGACTGATAGGTCCTGGGTTCAAATCTCGAGGGGGGATCGTGGATGCGCACTGCTAAGGAGGCGTCCCATACTAAAAGGAAACGGTCGTCCAGTGCTTCCAGGTTTTCCATGGTGGTCTAGCTTCAATTGACTCATGATTTCAACTACTGAAATTTCTAAAATCTCTCCAAAACCCGTTTTGATAAGTAAATACTCTCTTCTGTGTTTCATATATAATTTCCGTTATGTAAAGCCCAGTGTGTTATAATTCTATCTTATTACAACCCAGTTATTTCTATTGCTCAGTGTTCTTGGACACCAATTCACTTGACATGTCTTCAAATCAGAACATGGTTGAACAGGAAAGAGATTATATTCAAATAAGAAGGTTAGATGGAAGTAAGAAGCACAATAGTTAAAACGTTAGTACGGTGTTCTCCAAGTATCGACTAGCGCTGATAGGTTAAGAATTAGTCAAGCAACATGCAGCAACGCAATCGTGCATAGAGCATACTTCAATCTAATCTATGTCCCGTTAATACAGTAATAATGTTCAACTGAACAAGAATCTGGGAAATGTACACTTCTAAAGTGAAATTTTGTTGTATAACACTGAATTTATTATTCAATTACATTGATAGCATAATAATTTATGAAAGTATTTGTTATATTCGAGCGAAGATTAAATAACGAGTAATTTCTGAGACGTATTAATTGACTAATATGATCCATACATTCTTATGGTATAACTATTCAATAATTAGATTATGTATATTTATATTCCTCTTATTATAAGCTTTATTTTGACCTATAATTTATTATTGTACGATTTACTGTTCTTAAGCTATGTTCAGTTTATTGACTACTGCCTCCCACGTTCACAGTCACTTTTTGGCTTTATTGTGCACAAATGTTATTTCCTATTGTATGGTGCGTTGCGGTCTGTTTGGTTGATATGTAAACCCAGTGTGTCTAAAATAAATGATTCGATTCGCATATTGGAAGCAGGTATTTTGTTGTTCTGGATTCAAGTGGACGGGCTAGGCGGACATAGGACCAATGAGGACGCTAGGCTGTTCTTACCGGTTGAAAGTCATTGGTTTGGCACAGTGCTAAGATTGTATAAGTCGTATTTTGATTGATGGATAAATCACGTGATAAAAAACCGGACATAAAGTCATAACAATATTCTTTTGAAGTTTCAAGACGTTAGTGTTCAGAATTCAATCACCAAACGAACATCAGTATCATCACAGTGATTATCTTACTCACAATAGGACAAAACATGTTATAGACAGAAAAAATTAAAGATACTCAAAAAGATAAAAGGTAAAATTTTTGAAGTTTTCTATTAGTGAAAGCTAAATAATTTACCAGAAACGTTAGTTTCTAATAATAATAAATTATCAAATATGGTCACTACGGAAGAAATTTTATGAAGCATATTCTTTAAACTTCATTGTATACATTCACTTGGTGCTGTTTTACTTGTATCTTACCACTGTTATTTAGGACTGTAATTGATCAGTCTCTCTCTTATTGGTATATGTGCATCCTGTGTGAATTGCCTCGATATTTACAAGCATTATAAACAAAGATGAATAGTGGCTAGTTGTTAAATTCAGAACGCACGTTTCGTCCTATTTGGGACTCGTCAGCTGGATATACCTTCATCCCAGATTTGATGTTCACTCCAGGACTCGAACTCTGGGATTCAGGTGTATCCAATTGACAAGTACCAAATAGGACGAAACGCGTGTCCTGGATTCCACTGCTAGCCACTATCCATCTTTGCTTAAAAATTCATTATATACATATTCAATCATTTCTAATTCAATGAATACCCCTATTAAATTGACTATCAACAACTGTTCAATGTTATTAGTGGTTTAAAACTAATAAAAATCTATTATTTGGTTAATGTCATATTATACTTTCTCATTTATCAAAATTATAATAATCGTAATAAGCATACGATTCATAAAAGTAATTTCAGTTCATTTTAGCAAGTACCTGAATTTATACTTCTAGTCACTAAGACTACACACTGTCTCCTCTTCTACGCTGAGGTTTGTTACAGGGCAAAGTTAAAAGTTTAACCAGTAAGTATTAAAAAAGATGGACGATATTATTTCATAAATGAGTCGTTCAGATTTCTTATGACAATATAATATTTATGAAAAAGGTAATATCAATAAGAATGAACATTAGCTAAATAGAATTTTTTAAAGTAAAAGTAATACTATTATCATGGTTATAGACCATCTTGAGTGGTAACTTTGTTGGTTATTATTGGCTAATCAATTGACTTTTACAGTTGTTATATTCCTTCAGTTAGATTATTCAATTTTGTAACGTTCGCTATTGTTGTGGACAACATTATCTGAGTCTATTTTATATTGAAGTAAATATTTAGTTAACGTGAACGATACACTATATAGGATAGAACACAAGAAGAGATAGAGATGACAAAATCTACGAGAACGACTAATAACAAACAAAGCCATCACAATGAACTGATATAACACTTGAAAAATAACAAAAACGCTCATTTCTGTATGAAGTAGCCACTGATGATGGTCTCCAGACAACAAATCAAAATTTTAAGATTAAACCATCTAACTGAGAAAACAAAATTAAAATCACTCGTTTATTTTAGTCACTAACTAACCAAAATGAATGCACCATAGTAACTAAGTTAAAAGAAGAAAGGCATAATTTTCTGATCAGAGATATTAGCACTCATGAATTTTATCTGAAATACCTACATTTAATATTTCTCTGATAAAGCATTAAACTTGAAGTCATATGATCTAGAAGTGTATTTGTAATTCATCTATTTTAAGAACTATTAAAAATAAACAAGCCAAAAATACAAATATGCCCAAGTTTCAACTAATCAAAATAACATGCCCTGCCTAACCTTGATCATCTGACAATTGATAAAAGTACCGGAACATATGTAATATGTAATACTAATTACTTTATATTCTTTCTTCCATTCATTATTGATCAGTTGTTATTTACGGTAGAAACACCCACGTATTTTCCTACACCCATGGTGTATGTCATATATTTTTGTTGTTGTTGGGTATATTTAAGGGGAAAATTCATTGAAATTGGAGCGTATAATTTATTAAATATGCTTAGTCTTCAATTGAATTCTATTTTATATCTCTTCATATTTAATTGTGTTAATAAACTTGATGGTTTAAAATTATCAAAATTATGTACAACTCTTACAGTTAATCTAAGAAGTCAAATAAGTATCAATCGAAATGTAAGCTTAATCGTATCATCATCATCATCATCATCGGATATGCAGTCTGATTTAAATCAACTAAAGTATCAAGATAAAGTAATGATGGATGATAATGGATTTGAATTACGTATTCGAAGAGTAAATGATGGTGTTATGATTGATGAATGGTATGAACCTGGAAGAAAATATTATGTAATATTGACAAATCGGTTTCATTCAGTAGGATTTCGTGATGGATTAATATGGATTGAACCTAATATGAATAAGGAAAAAATGATGATGAATATAAAAATGGATTCATCAATTCTTGTGGATAGTAAATCACTTAATGGACAACTCAATTCAAACACAGTAAGTCGAATGTTTCATGGATATATTTATTTACTTAGATCAATTCAGACCATTCGAATAGATCGACTCGATTATTGATAAAGTTGTTGATGATTGAGATTTATAAATATGTAGATTGGAACAGAAATCAAATTAACAACCTTCAATTTTCGCTATGATAAAGGTTTGGTTCATTTCTTAAAAGTGAATTCTGTTAGGGTTGACTATTCTAGAAACTTAAATATTACTAAATTTATGTAACTTGAAAAACTAAAGAATGATACAGATCAGTCGTAATAAGTGTTTAAATGCTGTGGGTGGTAGAGGAAAACAGTTATTCTAGTGAAGACATCAGGATGAGTGTTCCGCAGTTACTTTTTTATACAGGTTTGTTACATATACAATTGAAGTAAAATATTTTATTCAGGGGCAGCAGTAACCAAAGCTGTGCTGAATCTATTCACAGAATTTGTTCATAAATCTTTCTTTTTATTTCGTACAAAGGTAGACACCTACCATCGCCTCCTAAAAAATCCCATGTAATGAATCCTAAACAGGTATCATATAAGTTCGACAGTTGGGAGGTAATAGTTTATTTCCTGTTTCTGAAAGTTCAATTAAGCATCAATTTTTCATTGAAATTTCCTTCGTTACGTCATGTCTCAAAATGGCAAATTTCATTACCGATGGATCTACTATTACTTCTGCAAAGATTCTTATCCAAATAACTTTATCAATGATTGTTTTAGATCCTATTACAGAACAATCTTTATAAAATAAGTTACTTATCAATCACTTTTCTTAGAATCTTTATTTTATTGAATCATTTTTTAACTTTCCTTAGTTAACAGATAATATGAGCAATTACTCTTCTAGAGAGTTAGGTGAATGGATTCATTTAACTAATCAGGATCCAAATAATAATATTTTATCT